ATTACCGGTGAACAAGGACGGAAGTAGAAATGTGTCAGGAGTACGAACATAAAAGATTATATTAAAATTTTAGGGAATGCGAGATATAAAATCTCATAATGTACAAATAAATCATATAAAATACGAAGAAAATATATTTTTTAAAAATACGACCGTCCCCTTAATTGTCCCTTCGATCTATCCCCGCCAGTGAGTAGTGTACGCACTATCAATATCACATGATCAGTCGTGCCGGTTTAATTTGATTATTTCGAAACAGTTACATCGGGAGATCAAAGAGTAAGGCGACATGTCAGTATGTAGAAGTAGTAGCAGATCAAGAAATATTTTTCACAGTAGATATATCTATATTGTTAATAAAAAAATTTATACAAGATGTACACAAATAAAACTTTAGGGTAAACAAATTAACTAAAAATGAATGGTTAACATTAAAAAAAATTAAGATTCCAAGACAAGCATGTGTACAGCCTGAACTCTATATACATCTGCCACTCAGTTTGGCAGCGTTAAGTATTAAGTAGTTCAAGGTGAACCGTCCACGTATCGAAACATCATATTTCACGTGTGAATCCACGTGTAGCCAGCCAGCCACACCAATCTTCTAAAAAAACATTGGAAAAAGATGTAATGAACAAAAACATAGGTGTCAATGGATGACCCGATCGATCAGGAGGAATCGGGATTACGTGGAACATGGATAAAGTTGTTCCTAGACACTCGTAATACGTACGTGGTGGTGTGGATTAAAAATGGTATTTTTCTAATGTCCTCTAATAACCCTAATACCATTATTTAATCCCTGCATTGATTTTACGCTAGAATAATGTAGGGGTTGTTTTTGTAATTCAAAAATAAAAATTCTAGGGTTTGTAAGTTTGTAGTTTGGTGGAGGCGGTGGTGAAATTGTAGGATATCACATCAAGTAAGATCAAAGAAAGTGGGCAACGGCAGATGTCGGTCCACACCACCTTTTTGAGCTTTTGTGATATGAGATTCCATCACTCTTTTTCTTCTAATTTCCCAAAAGTTATAAAAGTATTATGACACAATTAATCAATAATTAATTTAACCAGATGAAATATTTATTTTTTTAAATGAACTCAAATTTTTAAATTTTAATATTATGCATAAATGAATTAAATTAAAAATTTTCATTATTATTTAATTTCAATGGATCAATCAATAAATTAAATGTTATGTTAATGATAGAATAAAAAAATTCCGAGACAAAAAGGTGGATCCAAGTGGGGGCAATATGGCGCGTCAATTTAGGCATCGCTTCCTTCCTGTACGTGAGATTAGCATCAACCCGGTAAAATTCGTCCGTTATTCTAGGAGGGCTATTGTTTAGCCTAATACTCTATAAAAAAATTATTTAGCATAATACAATATAAAATAAATTATTTAACAATTTACGATATTTATTATAATAATTTGAAACTCGACACTTTAACATGATGTGTTTTAATAACATAATATTTTTTTATTTTGATGTCATACATTTAAAAAAATTATATTTTATTAAAATACATTACATCGATGTAATGAATTTAAATAAAAAATATTATTTGAATAAATTCGTCACGTCTAATGATGGAGCAATTATTAAATATTGGTATGACAGAAATATTAGACTATTTAAGAAAAATATAAAGACTTATTAGATATTTATACATAAAATTCAGCATGAACCAAACGACCTTAGTGATTAAGGGATTTTTATTATCCTTGAGGTCCCGAGTTCAATCACGTATGTAGGGGTATAAGCGTTCATTGTCAAATAATTGAAATTATTTGTACATATATTACCTTGTATTCTCCCTAAATTAAAAAAAAAACTAAAAACTCAAAAGACTTCTAATTTATATAATATTTAAACTTACAATGATTTAAATTGTAATTAGATAAAAAATTTGAGAACACAGACTTATCATTTTTTAGTTTGACCCCTACATGATTAAATATTTAATAATTTTTTATATTTTTTAAATTTAAATATTTATTTTTATATGAATTAAAATACTATTAAATTAAAATTATATTGAAAAAATAAATTTTAATAGGGATCGAGGTCCCTTAAGCCCTAAGGGAGCTCCGTCCCTAATTCCTGTTCTATAATATTTGTCATAAATTACAAAATAAATTATGAATTGGCTTATTGCACTTCCTCTGAACTAATGGCAAAAAAAAAAAAAAAAGATATATCATGCGAAATACCGAGATGCTGTGAGCATACCAAATGCATAATCTTTCGTTTTTTTCCCTTTTGAGGACAAACAATGAATGAAATTGTGGGTGTCCATCCATTTACAAGATGGGTGTCTTTTAATAAATTTATCTAAAAAATTGAAGGACCAAAAATATCATTAGACCCATAAATTTTTGGTGTTATAAGTGGATAAGAACAACTGCTAGCTACACAATAAGTTAGAGTCATTAGAATTAGATCGATTCACGATAATGCCAAAGAAAGTTCCAAAATTTGCGATACAAGCCCTCATTTATACCCCACAGTGTCCCATTGGTTTTTTCAATCACCAGTCATGGAACCCAACTTGGAGGGACCAGAGCCTCCCCTGTAAATCACAACTCCTTTGGAATTTGCATATGCTTTCAAGTTTGATTCTTTGGATCTGGATGGGTTTTTCCTTTAGTTTTTGTTCAGGCATTTGGGATATTATTGGATAAAACTTGAGTTTGTGCAGATATCTGACCAGAACCAGCCCACTCCCACCATAAATTGTCCCCTCTGGAGGATTATGTCCATTCATGCCCGGATTATTTTATTCTTAACATTCTTTTCCACACGTAATCTGTTTATTGATATGCGTGGCTCTGAATTAAATAGAAACCAACCCGGCTTGTTGTAACTAATGTGGATTATTTTCACTTTGACATCATTCTGCACGGGCAACCGATTGAAGTTAATGACAATTATGCAGGTCAATTCTGGATTTAAAAAAGTTTGTCTAAAGTCAAAGATAATATATAGGTTAACATTATTCATGAAAGCTCCACAAATTCCCTCTTAAATAGTGTTATGGAGAACCAGACAACAAAGTTGCTTGCATGCGTTTTATTTCAATAAAATAATTTTTGGGTCGTTATCAATTTTAAAATTTTGAGTTTATTTCAAAAACCCAGTTTTAAACATTTGGGTATGTGAGCTACTGAGTTGAGTTTTCGAGTTTGTGATGGAAGATGAAATAGCCCAACAAGTTATAGCACAATAGGATCACTTTATATTCCACCATATATACAGCAGGCCTTTCTTCATGCTAGTATACATCACAGGATCACTAATCCTGGATTAGTGGCCACAATGGGCTCATGTATGTCGTTTGATGCTTTTATCTAGTATTTTAAGGGCCTTGTCCAGCAGTGTTCAACAATAATTCTAGCTTTGTCATTGGCTGCAAATCTGATCAGGATTGCTCTTAATATCACCTTTTACTCTTTGGATTGTGGAACATAATCATGATAAATATACTCTTTAAAAAGGACATCTATATTTTAGTTCAGTAGTTAATATATTAGTAGTATTATTCTTGTTAAGATTGCAGGTTTATCAGAAGTCATTTTAGCACATAATGATCTTATGCTTTCCAAATGATTCCAATATGATTAAGTTAAACTCCTTTTTCTCCTCCTTGTTAATTGGAATCTTATGCTACATGGTATTAATTAATTAATTCCAATTCCCTGCCGCCTGCTTTTACAGACTATTCTAAAGCAAAGTGCTTAGACTTCAGTTTGCACTTTGCAGATATTCCATCTTTTCTTTTCTCTGGTTCCCCAAGAAAATGATTTGAGCAATTATGGCCTTCAAAGGGCAAACCATTAAGAACAGTGAACCATTGGACACAAAGTACTAGAAAAAAGGGTAGAAATGAAAAGAAGAGAAAAGGGTTTCTTGGTCATCACACTTGGACCAAAGAAAGCTTCTTTGTTGACTAAAAGAAAGCCATTTCATGTCCCACTTTCAGAGCCCCCCCCCCCCCACTGCTAAATTTGTTGAATTTAGAAGTGAAAATGGAGCATATTAAGTTTTATATTGGTTGGGATAATTTTGTCTAGTTTTCCAAGAAATATTCCTACCTTTGCAAATGTGGTCATGGCCTACTTTAGGACACTATGAGGTAACTTCACCATGCAAAAAGCAAGTTAGATTATCTATTTTACCCAATCTTGTCCCTAAAATGTAAATGAATCGGGTTTAAACGAATAAGATTGTGTTCTAATTCATCTATTTATTTTTTATAGTGTTCGTGTTCGATTCGTGTTCACAAACATATTATTTAAATTCGCGAACATATTTCTCTAGCGCTTGAGAACATGTTCATTTATATGATTTGAGTCTCCTCGGCAGCCAACATGTTTTTGATTATTCTATCTTCTAATGGTCCTTAAGCTTCTTAGCTTGACAATTTGAACTTCAAAATTCAGCACATATTCAATTTAACCGTTATTTTCATCAATATTTAAAATATAAAAATAAAAGAGTCAAAGGAGAATCGTGTAAACAAGCTTATAAATGAGTCGATAATCGAGTCAATAATTAAGATTGTTTGTGAACATAAACGAATTGAACACACTTTTGTTCATGTTCAGTCGTTTATTAAATGAACATAAAAAATTTATTCATGCTCGTTTACCTAATAAACGAATATTATATAAATGATTCACGAATAATTTATCAAACACTATATTCATTTACACCGTGACTTGTGTTAATAATACTCACTACAACTGCTACCGGCTTCGACGATGATATATAAAAACATTGATTATTACATGAATTCCCAACCAACATCTGTACCACCAGTCAACATGCCATTATCTTCACATAAAAAAAGATAGCTAAAGAAGAGGGAAAATAAGTAAATAAAAGAAAAAGAAGCAAAAAAGAGGAACCCATTAGTAACCGTCTCGCTTCATGCTTCTTTCTTTGTCTTTGCTTTGCTTTGCTTTCCATATAAGCTCCTGTTGGTCTTAACCTGCTTATACACTGTTCTTTTGCACATGTATTGTTCAATTGCAGTGTAATTATATTTTGATCTTTCGCCTCTTGCTATAAGCTATAATTCGTTGGAATTTTTTTATTGATTTTGTTATGGGATCTACTGGTGACCCAAGAGCTTGGGTGCCATACATGAACATCAAAGACTGTTCCCGAGGTTTTTGTAGCTTGTATTGTCCGCAATGGTGCTACATCATCTACCCTCCACCACCTCCAATACAATTCACTGCTGCTAATGGTTCAGCCCCAAATTTCTCCCCTCTCGTGATTGCCATTGTCGGCGTTTTGGCCAGTGCGTTTCTTCTAGTGAGTTACTACGCAATAATATCGAAGTATTGTGGGAGGGTGGAGTCCAGTAGTGGAAGAGAGAATGATCATGGAACCGATGAAGTAGTGGAAGATGATGATCACGACCCATCTGTACATGAGCCGTGGCAGATTTCGACTACCGGATTGGATGAGGCTTTGATCAAGTCCATCACGGCTTTCAAGTATAAAAAGGGCGATGGTTTCGTTGAAGGTTCGGATTGCTCGGTCTGCCTCAACGAGTTCCGAGATGATGAGAGTTTAAGGCTGTTGCCTAAATGCAGCCATGCTTTCCATCTCCCCTGCATTGATACATGGCTTCGGTCTCACTCGAATTGCCCTCTGTGTCGAGCTAATATAGTGTTTATCAATGCTTCAGCAGCACCTCCGGTGACGGAAACTCCTCCAGGATATGAACAACGTCCATTAACAAATGAACATCTAGCCGATGAACAAGATTCACAAAGAGACAGTGAATTCCCCAAGACTCCGTCTCCGTCGCGTGCTTTCAGCGATCTAGGCAGTGTGCAAGGAAGAGATGCCGTGATTCGTATTAGAGAAGAAGAGTATGTTCAACAGATGAGAAGATCAATCTCCATGGACCATTTCCGTGAAACCCAAGTTTCAGGTCAAGAGGGAGATAGCAGTAAGGTTAGCAGTAGAATGAGTGTGTTGCAATGTGTAATGAACCCTGCTGCAATGAAGAGATCATTTTCCAGTGGTAGATTCTTTCTTGCTAGGCAAGGAAGAGTAAGAGATTTATCTATTCCTCTTTGAAACCTGTAGATTTCAATGTGTAATGGTTACATATGTAATTGTATAAGATCATAAGCCTAAGTGAGAACTACAATCATCTTGTGAAATCCAAAACTTATTCGATGTTTCTCGTTTACATGGTTTATCTGGACCGACTCAGGTTCCACACCTAGATTTGATGGATTAGTCTTCCAACGGAAATTTTATGCATACACAAAGATTCAAATTCGAGATATTGTTTAAACGATATCAAACTGCTTACCAATTAAACCAACTCATTGACGGGATGATCATTTCTTGATCATTAGTTAGTATACAATATTAGATCATTCATTATTATTTTTTAAATAAAATAAAAATTATCATATATTTAAACATATCCGAACTCAAAACTTTTAGAACGTTATAATAAAAACAACGTCAACCGAACTAATATTTAACGGGTTTTAGTATAACAAAATTATTCTTGTTGAATTAAGATTAGTGTAACTAATATGGATTGAACTCAAAATTATTTTAAATTATATATATTTTAAATAGTTTGAATGATTATAATTTAGTATCTATTTAGAATATTTTTAACTGTTAATAATGAGCATACCTTATAAATACAAATACTCAAATTTGAATATTCTAAAATATTGTTTTACTATCATGGACGAAACATAAGGACTAGTGGGGCCTATGGCCCCCCAAAATTTAGAAAATTATAATTTATCCTTAAAATTTTTAAAGAATTCAATTTGCCCCCAAAATTTTTAGAAATTCATATTAAACTTAAAAAAAAATTAGTTCTTAATTAAACCCTCCTATAATATTTAAAAAGTTCTCATTAACCCTGTCAATTTTTCAAAAAAAAAATTGTATACCCTAATTTTCTAAAAAAAACTAAATCCTTCATGTTTTTTTTTAAATTTTATTTTAAACCTTTAAATTTTTGTAAAGTTCTAAGTTAACCCCTCCAAAATTTTTCGTCAAGTTCCGCCACTGTTTACTATTAATATATCTTGTAAAATATCCTATTAAATTGCACATCAAATGTAATATTCTCCCGTTTTATATTATTAAAATCAATTACTAGACGTTTGATCATTATCCTTGAATTCGGGGGACATGCATGAAAAAATTCTATACAAAACCTAAAATCAATGTTTTTGGTGTGGCATCCAAAAGAATAGACAAAGGTCAGATAAATGGGTCACCCTTCTGAACAAATTAACTCTTAACAGTAATCTTTCGACTTTTGTTTTGGGTCACTCTGTATTTTAATAAGGACAGTCAGCACCTTGAATTTTATGCTTTAAACCCTTAAATATAAAATATAAAAAAAATCAAAAGAATGAGCAAAGGTTAAGGTAATGTAAATTTAACGTTGTCCTTGATCGACGGTAAAGATTGATCCGACGTCACTGTCTGGTATACACAAGAAGACACAAGTCTTAATTAAGGAAGTTGGGAAGTTCTATCGTACGACAATCTTAATATACGAATAAAAAAAAGATGTTATTAGTTTTATTATTATTTTTTAATAAAATCGATAAAAAATTACTGGAAACATTATTATTTCTACCGGAAATATTATTATTGAGCGTTTTATCGAGTTTGGTAATATATCCGGTAAAACTCTATTTAAAACATTATTTTTTTACTAGATATATTACCAAACCCGATAAAGTGTTCAATAATAACATTTCTGATAGAAATATTAATATTTTCAATAATTTTTAATGATTTTATTAAAAAATAACAAAATCGATAGTAATTTTATTTAGTCGTATATTAGACAGCCGTGAACTTTCGTCATACTTACAACTTTCGTCATACTTACACAAACAAACAAATATGAGAGAGATGCTGTATGGAATGGATCGAGTCCCCATAAAATAATTTAATCTCTAAAATTCTCAGCCTTATTCAACTGTTGCAGAAACTACAAGAAAGTACAGAATCGCTTTTCCCCGTACCCTTCCCCCGTCGCACGCTGCAATGTCAACTCTCCAGTTCTCTTCATCGTCGTTAAACCTGCGCTCGTACCAGAAGTTGTCTCTTCTATTATAAGAGAAACACACACATGAGAGACCAGAGATTCATTTAAAACCAGCCTATCAAGTGCTTCTACGTTATTGGATTGGATTTTCTTACAACTAAGATGCATGTTTTACTATACAACATATGAGTTATGACTTATAACTATGGTCTTCGAGCGAAAACGGTCTTCGCCAGCTGCTAAATATCAATTTATATGTGTTGATGATTGAAATCGGGTTATATGGTTTTTGACAATTTACTCCTTTCAGTTTGGACGAAGAATTGTACTCGATTCCTCTACGGAAAAAAAGAAATAAACTATGATGATGAACAATCCTAAGAGAGACTCCTTCTCCCGGTGACTTAAATACATGTCTTTAATGTTGATGTGGAGACTAATACAATGATGACTATCTATAGATTAGTAGGGAAAATATATTAAATTGTTAGATAATAAATATAAGTGGTGCTGATCATATATGATTATCACAAGCCACATCAAAAGATTGTTACTCTCCGAAGGATATATGAAACTTCGAAGACTTCAAAATATGGATGCATGAGACCTCAACAACGATCCCTTTGCCATTTGAAGGGAAAACAATAACTAGTAAAAAATACAGAAACTAAATGCAAAAAAAGTGGGTGGCATTTTGGTGACGTGGATGGATCAACATACGGCAGTGGCGTCTTCCTCAATTATTTCGATCATGTGGTGAACTGCCCTTGCAATGTCATCAACTGTACTGAGTTGGCATCCTTCTTCAACCTGCATTCAGAATGTTTCAAATTTTAGCCCAAAACTGTAATGTTTTCTTCAATCATACATGGAAATGAAAACAACTAAACATAGTTGGTCTAAAATTGTGGAAAATGACATTTTTTTTATTTTTCCCTTTCAAGGAGAAAAACAAAATTACATGAGATGGAAAAGATAGTATCTGCCCACTCCCCCCCCCCATGTGACAATAATTGAAGATGACCATCTCTTTGTAGTCGTAGAATGTCTGAAGAAAAACCATATGTTATATTGCAATAATTGTTATTACCTTGGCACTGATAGAGTAGAGAACTAATGGATCCATGGTGGTGACATTGAGATGGAGGATGGAAAGGTAAAGTGATTGGAAACCAACAACAAGCTTGGAAAGCTTCGACGGACCTTTCCGTGAGACGATTCGAAGATTCGCATGAGTTTCGATCAATGTCACCTCGATATCCGCCGATGTTGCCTTGGTCTTCGATGTATATTTGTCAGGGATATGACACAAGGTGGTTTGATGATGCATGAAAAATGGCAGATTGGGGTTGGTGTTGCTGGTTTCTTCATTTGCAGCAGCTGGTCTTACTTGTTGCAGTACTCGAAGCTTTTCAGCTTCAAGAGTTTGCTGAAGATGCTCAAGCTCCTTCACAAACTCTATGGCGCCACCAACTATGGATGCTTGATCACCCTACACATGCAAGAATGAAAATGATTTATGTTAAACTTCTGATTTGGGATTAAAAATGGCTAATTTGCAGTATCCTTTGATATTTACTCTTACGGTATACCACAATTTAGAGGAACAGCTTTTTCTTGTATGATTTTCAGCTTTTGCATGACTAGCAAACAAAAGAATAATCCAAAGAAAAGCAAAAGGCAATAATACAACTGTTTTAAGAAATTAGCCGATTCTAGTTGAAACTTTTTCACCTTGCCAAGCTCTGATAGATTTTGCTGCAACATTATGCTATAAACTAGTATTGAACTCTAGACTTCAATCAGTCCAGCTTTTCAGAACTGTACTGAATCACATCAGAATTGTAATTTCTCTCAAGCACATCAATTAGTTATCCGGTAATATGGATAACATCAATTTAACATATAAGCCCTACAGTTAATATGGCTGGGAATTAAAAGAAAAGGAAGAAGAACATACCCTTTGGACATAAGATTCAGGCATGAGGGAGCGTAGAACAGTCAGTTGTTCATTCATTTGCTTCCGCCTGTTTCTCTCAACAGCAATGTGAGCCATTCTTTGAGTCTCGGCCTCTTCTTTATTCTTGCAAACGCTCGGCTTTCTCCTCCGCTTTTTCCTCCCTTGAACCGCCAGGTTCGGCCTCCGCACGACGGTTTCCGCTACTGTCGAGGGGCTGCATTGTGGGGGAGGAGTCAGCGCCACTGGAAAGCAATTCAGAACCGTACTGCTAGCTTGTTCTTGGGAACTGAAACTATTTTCCACCGACGAAGTTGTCACAAAAGAGTCATACATAACGAGGTTCAAGAGCTCATTGGAAGAAAGAGTTTCGAGTGTCATTTCTTTCAAGAAAATTGGAGACCGAGAGGAAGAGAGAAAGAGAGGTTAAAATGAAGATGCTTTCCGGCTTTTGAAAGGTTAGTTTATTTATATTCAAGAGGTTTAAATGAGAGATACAGTGCACGTGAGAGGGGAAGGGAAAAGAAAGAAGCTCAAACACTAAACCCTGTTTTATATTTGGGGTTTGTCTTCCCCGTTCTCATAGATGCTGTGAACGCTGGCAAAGCCCTCTGCCATGGAGACTGTGGTGTGGGTACCCCAAATCTATATAGAAATAAAGCATACCAACAACACAAACAAGCTGGTTAAAAGTTAACTCTTGTAATATTTATTTGAAAAACTCAAAATTATTTAATAATAAATATTTAAACATCTTTATGAATATGACACTCAAACGTAAAATATTTTAAAATAACACGTATCTCCTTAATCACCGTAGTCTATCTCTACGTAAACTTGACAATCTGCATAGTACTGCAAAAACCACATGATGCTGATGCATAGGCTTGGGCTAGAGAAAGACCTATTATTAACAGAACATGAAAAGAATAATGTGGTGCTTTATCTTCAACCAAAACCCATTATTAATCTTTCAATTTCCAATCAAAACAATAATGCTTTCATCAGTTTCATGCATAAATTGGCTACAGTAGTACTGGTGAAGAGGACTGATGGAGGTGGACCAAATTTGTTAGACACATTGCAGAGTAATCCACGTGACCGGCAGCTTCGCAGCACTTAAAAAGTATGCAATCTTCTACATATAATCTAATCTCTCACCTTTTCCCTTTTCTCTGCTTTTACCTCTCGTAATTCATACTGATTGTGCTAAGCTTTTCCCATTGTTTTCCTCTGTTATCGCCTTTTAATTCTTTTGTACAAATAAATGTCGATATCTACAACTCATAAGCTCCAAAAATACTTGCCATTACCAATAGGCGTCTGTACACCGAAGCTGTAGCTTCTACGGAATGTGACGAATGATGGGCTTATATCATATTCATAACATATATACACATGCATGCATGTGCATGGTCACGGGCATGCATGCTCGATATTTTCTGAATTCTTTTAGTAGCGTTTGGTTGCAAGAAACATATAGACAGTAGAAAACAAAAACAGTTAATGCAAGTAATCTACATGAGAAATGATGAACATTAATGTGAGGATCAGAACCACATTTTACTGCGTAAATAAAGCAATAAAATCTGTTGTGTTATTTCTTTGAGCCTAAGAAATGAGAGAAGACCAATAATCACTTGATTTATTGGGATATCTGTCGTACTTGATTCGAATTAATCTATTAATGAATCAATTACTTGTAGTTATACCAAAAAAATTATAGAGTTGGGGCTGGTGTTATGAAAAGTTTTGGAACAGAAGGTTGAAGATGAAGTAACATCAAGTGACATGGTCGTGTCTTGAATGATTATAAGGATAAGAGGAGTATGTATATGTACCTTCTAGGTCTAGGTGGGGAGCTCCTCAAGTACGTATCGTCCATTTGGCCTTGCTTATTTTTGTGGACAATAATGTGATTGACATACGCTTTCACGTGATTTTTTTATCGTGTTGTTTCAATTCTTATTTTATTATAAAATAATTTGACTTTTAAATATAGATATATATGATACGTTATATATTTATTTAAAAATTAAATTAGATTTGATTATAATTTAAGTTAAATATTATTTGATTATTAAGTTTATTTAGGGGCTGTTTGTTTACTTCAGAATGATTAAACGCTGAATGATTCAAATGCTGAATGATTCAGAAGCTCTGTATGAATTAGCTCTGAATGTGACATGTTGTTTGATAATGACTCTGAATCATACAGAATGTACTTCTGTGCGGAATCATTCAGCACTGTTTTGCTGAATCAGTAAGCACTGAATTATTCAGAGGTGAGAAACAAACACGTTGAATGCTAAACAATTCAACATTCAACGCTTAATGGTTCCATTCAGAGCTGAATGGTTCCATTCAAAGCTGAATGGTTCCATTCATAGCCAAACAAACAACCCCTTAATTACAGGGATGAAGTTATGTGCCGTCTTGAGGTCATTGTTACTATTTTTCATTATTTTAAAAAGTATATGGATAGATATCTAATTAGCCCTTTTAGTTTTAGTTTATTTTAATTTTATCCTTTATTTTTATTGTTAATTATATTTTTTCCCGTTGAGTAAGTATTCTGATTTTGTCCATGTTTAATTAAGAATTCTTATGGAATAAAGAATATTCGTGATTAGGTAATTGACTTTATATAAGTAAAATGTATGTCTTGACTTTTAAAATTATGAGAATAAATTATTTTGCAGAAATGAAATCATTTTGTATTCTCTACAACTTTTGTGGGTTTACGTTGCAGAGATGTGTTTTAGAATACGTCAAGTTTTGATATATATATATATATATATTAAAATACAAATACATGATATATCATGTATTTGTATTTTTTTAAGATCTTTACGTTAATAGTGAATTAGTGTTTTTTCATTATTGAAGGTGGACAAGTTAAATCACATTAAATCTCATCTTACGAACAATTTTTTCTATATTAATATCGTCTTGTTTTGTTTTTCCGATCTTTAAAAAAAATGAATAATTCTAGTTATATGTGTATTAGATATGTACTCGTGTCTTAAGACCGGAGTTGGTTTAGGCGCATTGTTTCGCGTTGGACCGTTGTCCTTGGGAGGACTTGTTGTGCAATTGAGTAACCTTGGTCTGGTTGGCGAGCCTGTCGGGTGTCACCCTCGTCGAGTTGGAACACGACAATGTTATAAATTCAATTGGAAAATTATTCTCCTTTTTACATTTTGGCCTTTTCTTTTTCTAAATTTGCCAATCAATCATGACACCTAGCATCTTTGTAAGCATCTCCAGTCTACCAATGGTGGATTGTATTAGCCATATACAGAACTTGCAGTGCTTTTGAAAATGACTTACAGGTAGAAAGGCAAGTCATGTAGCAGGAACTCTGTATACTTTCTATGTCAAATTTTACTCCACAGTAACCTCCAAAAATCACCTCTGTATTATTTCGTGCGAGTTATAATTTTTTATCGATGGTATCTCCTCCACGAGTCTATAATGCTTCGCTGAAACATCTGTTCCTGTTGTTGAAGACAATGACGGATTTAAAAATAATTTTTTAAAAGTCAACACATATATATTAATAACAAAAAAAAATCATATGGAATGAACATAAATAAAATCTTAGAACGGATATCACTAGTAAAATAAACAATTAATATAAAATCTTGATTTTATGGTAAACACGTGTCCATCCTAAATAATTCTTGCGTCCGCACACCGGTCCTGGCTCGTAAACTCGAGAAAGACAATACAACCTCTGTTCCAATTAGCGGGTCCGTTTGTCGGAATTACACGAACTGCGTTTTCTCTACCGTCATCCATGTTGCCCATCAGAATTATTGTACAATGTCAAATTTGTCATATGATTTTCGCGTTTGAATTTGCAGCAACAAGTGTTAAATTATTAAGCATAACTGGGTTTTCAGAAATAGATAATTCTATCACACTATGAACTGTTTTGTTGAAGTTGAAAGCTTGGAATGTGTTGGAAAATAAACACAGCATGTACACCATTATTTCCTTCGTATGGAAAACAATAGCACTAATGAAGAAAATGTAGCATAAATTGTCTAGGTAATTTGCTTTCCTGTAATTATCTTATCCACTTTTTTAAATTACTGTTCTAGTTGCTGTTACTGCTGAAGGTTGAATAACTTAAAATATGGCCCGTCTTTCATTTCTATCAGACTAGAATGAGTCCCTTGCTCTATTATTTAGGTGACTAGTGTGAAAACGATTGTATTAAAAATCACCCCAAGGTAGATTCCTAGGAAAGAGGAGGGGTCACAATGGTCCCACTTAAAACTCACTTTCCTTAGACAGAACTACCAAGACAAATAATTTTAATAGGACAATAATTAACAACAACTATACCCGACAATAACTATTAAATAGACATAAAAGAAAACATCAAAATTGAACGAGGTTAGACCAAAATTATACCTACCTCCTCGAACACTACTAAAATAATATTTCACTAATAGAAGAAATATTACAAAGAGAGAGAAAGAGTACAAATAACCTTTAATATAGAAGAATGCTTATATTTGTGGGATGATTAACTAAGGAAGAGGAAAACTCTATTTATAACAAAAGAATTTCTCCTCCTCCTTATACACAACCAATGCGCGACTTTGCCAAAAAACCAACAAATCTCCACCTTGGCAAATTCCACACACATCTCTAAAAAAATCCAATCTTCAGTAGTGTCTGCAAATTCATCTTTCAATTTGTAACAATATTGACCAAGTCTAAACAATGTTTAAACTTGACCGCAGTTACCACTTTTGTCAACATATCAGCAGGATTCTCAGTGGTCTGAATCTTATGGATTATGACTCCACCTTTTTCTAGAATCTCTCGTACAAAGTGATATCGAACATCGATGTGCTTCGTCCTTGCATGGTAAACCTGGTTCTTTGCTAAATGAATAGCACTCTGACTGTCACAGTGCACTTTGATGTGCTTCTGTTCCATTCCCAATTCACCAAGCAACCCTTGAAGCCAAATTACCTCCTTCATAGCCTCTGTAACTGCTATATACTCTGCCTCTGTAGTAGACAAAGCCACTGTTGACTGTAAGGTGGACTTCCAACTGACTGGTGTCTTTGCAAATGTAAACACATAACCAGTAGTTGATCGACGCTTGTCCAAATCACCTGCACAGTCTGAATCACAATACCCAACTACACACTGACCATCTTGTTTGTCCTGCTGAAAGACCAAACCAACATCTATGGTATTCAGAATATACCACAGAATCCATTTCACAACTTGCCAATGCTCCTTTCCAGGATCATGCATATACCTGCTCACAACCTCAACTGCCTGTGAAATATCGGGTCTCGTACACACCATTGCATACATCAAGCTACCAACAACACTTGCATACGAAACCTTTGACATGTATTCCCGTTCTGCATCATCCTTAGGTGACATGGATGCACCGAGCTTGAAATAAGGAGCAAGAGGTGTACTAACTGGTTTTGACTTCTCATTCATGCCAAAACGTTTTAGTACCTTCCTCAGATATTCTTTTTGAGACAAACAAAGCCTCCCCAATTTCTTATCCCTTCATATCTACATGCCTAGAATCTTCTTCGCTTCACCAAGATCCTTCATCTCAAACTCCCTGTTTAATTGAGTCTTTAGTTTCGCAATTTCTGTCTGACTCCTGGAAGCTATCAACATATCATCAACATAAAGAATAAGATATATATAGGATCTGTCTTGTAGCTTGCGTAAATACACACAATGATCATATTTGCTTCTTGTGTACTTCTGCCCTATCATAAACTTGTCAAATCGCTTGTACCACTGCCTTGGAGATTGCTTCAAACCGTACAACGATTTTTCTAATTTGCACACTATCTTTTCTTTTTCAGTAACTTTAAATCCATCTGGCTGAGTCATATAGATTTCCTCATCGAAGTCTCCATGTAAAAATACAGTTTTTACATCCATCTGAACTAGTTCCAAATCCAACTGCGCTACCAAAGCCAACAAAATTCTGATGGAGGAATGTTTTACAATTGGAGAAAATACTTCATTATAATCAACTCCCTCTGTCATAACCATTTTTTTTGTAAAACAATTAAGTATTATTTTTAAAACACAATTATGACTTTAATTTAAAAAATTTGGTGATTTTGAACGGATTTGAATAAAATTTAAAAGAGTCGCCATCGACCTTTGGGTTAGGTAGGTCGAATACCTAAAAACGTCTTTTAAAAACAATTTTAAGAAAAAATAATTTTACAAGACAAAAATTTG